CCCATTTGCCTTCCTCTCCTAAGGCTGGGTAGCAGCAGCTCGGGGTCCACCCCCTTCTGTGCTAGTGAATCTTGACAGGAAACTAACCCATTGGCCAAGCTCAAGGGTGCAAAATAACATGAAGGCAATGGTGTCCAACCTTCATACATATTTCTAAGAGGAAGAGGGAAAATGAACTTTCACGTCCTACACTCAGCTCTCCTGTCACCCAGATCCTGTCTTCGTCTTTTGCTAGAGAAGTAGAGAAAGGTTTTCTCTGCATTTCCTGTTAGTCCTTCTTGGAAGGCAGCCATGGAATTGGTGCTTCTGAGCTGTAGACAGACGCATGCCATGGGCCACTTCTCCCTAACAATAAACTAATAAGTAACAATAATAAACCACCATTCCTGTGCTCACCATGTGGTAGGTTCTGTGGTAAGCTCTTCCTGTGGACTTGCGTAAGAACTAGGACTTGATTGGTGATTAGGACCCCAGGTCTCTTAACCTTGGCACTTGTTTGTGGCCACGTGGTTCTCTGGTCTAGGGGTTCATGGCTGAACAGGTAGAGCTGCCACGTGAGGTCCTCAGGAGGCCGACTGGATGCCTGGGTCCTGAGCCCAGATCTACTGAATCCGGTTCCTGCTGAGAGATTTCCTAAGATTGGCCATCCAGATTTGTGACAAGTGTCCTGAGAGATGCTTGACTCAACCAGAGCTGAGAACTGTAGGTCCCACTGTCAACCACCAGCCCTTCTACCCCCATCCCATGCTTCCTTCCATTGCTTATGGTGGTCCCGCTGCCCAGAAGTCATTCAACCTCCAAGTGACCATCTTCCCCGCTTTGGGTTACCTGTGGTTCTTCCTACTCATCTCCTAGTTTTACCCACACTTACTTTAAAAAATTTTTTTTTTAACGTTTATTTATTTTTTTTTTTTTGGGACAGAGAGAGACAGAGCATGAACGGGGGAGGGGCAGAGAGAGAGGGAGACACAGAATCGGAAACAGGCTCCAGGCTCTGAGCCATCCGCCCAGAGCCTGATGCGGGGCTCGAACTCACGGACCGCGAGATCATGACCTGGCTGAAGTCGGCCGCTTAACCGACTGTGCCACCCAGGCGCCCCTACCCACACTTACTTTAAACTGTCTGGGATCGATCTGCCTTTTTTCATTGCAGCAGGTGTGTATCTTTCCCACCAAACAAAAAACTTCTGGAAGGTGGCAATAGTCACTTTCAAAGGAAAGTGGTCTTCCCTCCCTCCAGCTGTGTCTGCCCTGTCTTCTCCCTCCCTCTCCTTTCCTCTTTCCCCTCTCCACCCCAGCCCACAGTGAGAGTTCATTTGCTGGTTACCTTTCAATCTGTCCTGAACAGAAATGTTCCCCCCAAATAATCCTCAGTGCATGTTCATAAGATGCTGGCTTTGGCCTTGGGGCAGCAGCCCCTCACGCTGCTGGCTGTGGCCTTGTTCAGACCTTCATGGCTGCTAGGGAGGTGTTAACCAAAACTCCCTCTGCTTTGGTGCTTTTTAATTTCAGTGCTTTGATTGCGAACTGGTAATTCACAACATAAGGCTCTTTGAGCAACCAGCTAGCCACCTCTGAATGTGTCCACTTGTTTATGGGAATCGTTAAACCAAGCTGTTTTAAGTGTTGACTTCTTTCTCTGTAGTTTTTTCTGGAGCATGTAAGAAGGCCATATTTTCCTTTCCAAACATGCTCCTGAAAAAAGTTAGGAGTACCTTTTACCAATGCCTTCCCCGCAATTAATTGTGAGAAATACTCTTTCTATAGTATACCCCTTCCTTATTCATTAAAAAAAAAAAAAAAGGACAAGAAGAAAAATGCACGGCGAACGAACTGCTCCGTGGTCCCTGAACTCGAGAGGCACTAGTGGGCAGCACTGGAACCTTACTTCTTTTCTTTTAATGCAATTCCTTTTCCTTGATGTTAATGCAAGTTGTGCCTTCCTAAAAGTAATAAAAGGAAATGAAGACACGTTCTGAAATGAAACTTGACTCTAATCCATTCATCATCTAATACTCGCCTCTTTATCTTCGCTGGTACCTAATCTGGTTAAATGTCCCTGTTGTAGGATTTTAGTGAAAATCCTCTATGGGGAATAGGGTTTTTTTGCAATTGGATTACTCTCAGTAAATGGCCCAGTAGTTCGCTTGTTTCAGCTTAATTTTTTCTTTGTGATCTTGCTGGGCTAAGTTATAGCACAGCAGAGCGGAGGGGGTGGGGTGGGCTGAGAGAGGGGCTGGGGGGAAAGAGGAGAATTCAGGAAGGTCTGGTCATGGCAACTGGAAAGATCTTAACAAATGCTTTTCTTTTTTTCCTGCTTCTGTCTACCTGTCCACCCTTCTTGAACATAAAAATGCCTGTACTTTGTTTTCTAGAACTGCCCGTTTCTAATCTGCACACCTTTTATTAGCCCAATTTATCATCATCCAGTTAATTTATTAGCGTTCCCCAATGACTTCCTAATGAAATTCCTAATGAATCAGGGCTGCTGTAATCTGCATAAAATATGCAGGTTCTCGCCTGCCAGTGTAGGGCTTTCTGGTAAAGTTCACACTCCCAACCAGACCAGGAGTGGGGCTTTTCATCCATGCTGTCTGTAAAGGATTGTAGCATGCCCGCTGGCTCCCAGGGGAAGGGGGATGTTAGGAGCGTGGGGTGGTGGATAGGGGAGGCCGAGTGGGTGGGAATTGGGCCCTGCCACGTTTCTTGTAACGGAAGGTTTTCCTAGCTGGTCCCCTGGGAAGCCTTGCCTGCCTCCTGAAGGTCCCTCCGGTGGGGTCCTGGGGTCAGAGATTCCTCCCCACCCCCCACCACCTGCGGGAACCCAGTAGGCCTGGGAGATTAAACCCCCATTTCCGATTTACCTGCCGACTGGGAAGGTGCACACTTGGGGTCCGTGACGGGGTGGCTGTGGAGGAGGCATTTTAAAAGCCAGGCTCCGTAGGGAGGTCAAAACAGAAGCATGCCTGCCCAGAGAGCTGTCTTTACAAATATCTGTTATTTTTAATGCATGGATTGGGGCCAGGGCTGCGGGCGGAATTGAGTGCATCTTACAAAGTCCAGGAGGGAGGGCGGGGTCCAGGGAGCCCACGGGTCCTGTGTCCCCCAGTGTCGAGCCGCCAGGAACCAGCGTAACGTTGGCCTCCTGTTCTCCTCCCCACAGTCGAACAAAGTACCGGTTGTGCAACACCCTCACCATGTCCACCCTCTCACGCCGCTCATCACGTACAGCAACGAACACTTCACCCCGGGAAACCCACCTCCACACTTACCAGCCGACGTAGACCCCAAAACAGGTAGGCGGTGTGTGCGATGCCAACAGGGCGTGCGGGGTCCGGGGCCGCCTGGCCTGCTGGGAAGGGACGGGGGAGTTCAGGATGGGCTGTGGGCCGTGGCGGAGGGGCTCCTCATTCCCCCTCCTGGGGTGCGGAAAAGAAGCTCTTTGGGGAGACCAGAGCCTGGTGAGGGAGTAGCCTCTCCTGTGTGGAGTGCTAACAATCTTTCTAGAGCCCAGAATGCCCCAGGAAGGGCTGGCTATGAATCCTGCAGTGTTTTCCAGGAGTAGCTTGTAACGAACTCCGAGAGCCTCAAACAGACTTGGAGGCGGGAGTAGTTGTGGAGGCATCCCCTGGCCTCCTTCTCAGCTTCTTGGGAGCACAGGAGCCCCAGCAGCATGGCTCCCCAAAGCCCTAGTTCCCTTGGCGGTCAAGGGACTCCAGTCACCTGACAATGACTTATTGCTGCAGCCGGAGGAGACCACATCACTGGATCCCGCATTCTCTTTGCTGGTTTATTTGGGTTCTTCGTCCCCTGCGATATCCTGGGTATCATCGAGCCCATTATACAGATGTGAAAACTGGAGTCCGTGTTTTTCCTCATTGCAGCATGGAACAACCCGCCCAGTCTCAGGCAGAAGGTGTCACGTCATCCGTCAGCCTTGGCGCTTTTCCCCTTCTTTCCATCCCACATACACATGGGCTGCTTTTTCCTCCAAAGGGGGAAACAGAGAGGGCAGGGTCACTGGCCACCCTCCCCGTAACAAGATTTGAAACCAGCAGCCGGCCACAGCTCGTAGCGGGGTGGCCATGGGAGAACAGCTGAGGCCAGGACAGGCTGGGCGGTGCACTGGGTAGGGTTCTTCTAACCAGCTAGTTAATTAGAAGGATGCATTTTAAATGGCTGTTATCCCGTGTCATCTGGTCAGAGGGGATTGTTCGGTGTTGAGCTGAGGTGGATTGCCCATTCATGCTGCCTTTGCCGCCCCCAAACGAAGCCACACGTTAGCTGGTGTTCGCCAGCCTCTGAGCCCCCTTTGTGCTCATGGGGGACCTCGCCTAGTACTTGGATGGCTGGAGGAGGCCGCTAGCCGGCCCCAGGCTCTGTGAGTGAATAGCAGCATCAACGTCTCATTTAAATAATGGTAGTACAGGGAATAGCTTTTAAATGGTTATCGTAAAACATATGATTAACGTCTGCAGACTGTTTACTTTTCCTCTGCGAACATTCTTTCAAGTGTGCAAATGGCTTGGTGTAGGGTCCAAGACCAGCTAATCTGTTTGGTTTTTGTAATAGAGAGAAAGCAATGTCTGCATGAAAATGTCACCCAGGGAGACTTAACTTACAGATTAAAAGCTTCCTGAATGAATTAAAAAAAAAAAAAATGGAATAGTTTTCATCCACGGACATGCAGCTTACTACCTTCAATAGCATTGTTCGTTTTCTTCCCACTTCTGCTGCATAGATCAAGTTCCTCTGTCGGAATTGATTCTAGCGCTCTAGCTTTCCCCCGAATCGATGGCAGGATGTGCGCCTGCGGCGTACGTAAGCGTGCAGTGGGGCACGGGCCTCGGGATGTGCCCAGATGTGCCTCGAGAGCCTTGTTAGTGCTCACGATGCGGCAGCACCTGGTCAGGTAGGGCCGATTCTCCCAGGTGCCTCTGCCCTCGAGAGAATTAGGTTCTAGAGTCGAGCCTGCCAGGTCTCCAGCATCCGCTGGTCCTTTCAGTTCAGATTCTACCCTGGAGAAGAGGCCGTGGCTCCTGGTGAGTTTCTCCCAGAGCTCATCCTCTAAGCTGAGGTCAGAGACATTCTAGGGGAGTTAACTTTTTTGAAAGAAGACAAGAGTAACCTTTCCAAAGGCCGTAACTTAAAAGGTATGTTAGAAACCTAGGGGAGTAACTCTCGTGCAGGCAAGTCATTAGAATTAAAAGGAGTGAAGGCACAAGTTGGGAGGGCAAAGAGAATTTATATGACTTGATCACCTACTCTGTGCCAAGCCCGTCAGATTTGTTTTTTTAGTTTCAGTAATCAACACTGATCACATAAGGCAGAAATATGCAAGATGGCATTTTCTGAGTCTGCATTTACCCAGCGTACCCATCCATCTAGAATGAGATAAACCAAGTTTTCAAGGTAGGGCGGGGAAAGATAATGAATGAAACTTAGCCACAACTCTTAACGATCACAGTCCCGAAAAGACTCATGCTAGCGTTACAGAAGAGATGTGTCCGTCGTCCCTTCCCTGTTCCCATCCCCTGACAGTTTCTTTTTCCTTCTCTTCTCCTTCGTACCTAAAATGCTGCTTCTTCTCTCAGGAATCCCACGGCCTCCGCACCCTCCAGATATATCTCCGTATTACCCACTATCGCCCGGCACCGTAGGACAAATCCCCCATCCGCTAGGATGGTTAGTACCACAGTAAGGAGTTCCATTTTTTTAATTCCCTTTTTGTTTCTTACATGGGCATGCTTATTATTTATTCCGTGTGTGTGTATGTGTGTGCGTGTGTCTCAGAAGACGGGTTGGTGAGGGAGGGCCGCAGTGGGATATGTTGCAAAGATGCTCCTTGAGGTGCCCTGTGGGGAAGCAGGTGAGTCAGGAGCCATTCAGGTGGGTTTTGTAGGAGAAAGGTCATTGATACTTAGCATTCTGAACCCACAGTCCCCAAAGACTCTAGGCTTCTCTCTGTGAACAAAGGTGCCCTTAAGGTACTTGGGGAATTGCAAAAGGCTCTGAGGGCTTCTATCAAAGGAAGCTGATCATGGCACTTCTGCCGGTGGCAGCCCACAGTGGAGTCCTGTCATTCATTGGTTTGAGGCGACACGAGAATGGAAACAGGCATAGCGTGATTTTGGAATCCAGGGGTGAGAGTGGAGGGTTATCCTCTCAGAAACCCCTAAACCCCAACACCATCCCGACCTTTACTCCCAAGGCTGGCAGTAAGAGCGGAAAGGTCTGTCTGTTGAGAAGTTCCAGTATCCAGCTAGGGTCTCCCTGGGGTTCTTGGTTCACCTGATTATGAGGGGCTGGGTGGGGGGGGGGGGGAGGGTCTGGAATCCCCACTCCAGCATGTGGGGCCTTCCTGAGTGTCAGCCGGGGTTCCTGGCGGCGTGCAGGTCTGCAAACTGCCTTTTATGATTGGTCTTCCTATCACCCAGTCTTGCTTTTATAGTACCATCCATTAACCTTCCTTAGACAACTTTTCAAAATGTGTGTTTCAAAACCAGAGTAGAAAGGCCTTTAATGCATAAGCATACTGGGCGTGCGCGCGCACGTGTGTGTGTGTGTGTGTGTGTGTGTGTGTGTGTGCATGTGGTCTCTGTTTCGTGATTGTGTTTTTGTGTATGTGTTTCTCCATGTTTATCAGTGATCTCTACTCTAGAAAGCAAGGACGATTTGTTGTCTTAACCAGAATACCTCCTGGTAAAACTCTGAACTTTGGGTCTTGGGGAAGATGCCCTTTCAAAGTTCTGATGTAGTTACCTCCCCGCCTCCTGCCCCTCGCCCCAGTCTACCCTTTTTTCTCTAGTTGAACAGACACTGCCCTGCTGTGTGAAAAGTAGCTTGTATGAGGTGGTAGCCATACCAAATACCAACCATGGCTGTACTTCCTGTTTCTTTCTTTCTCCTTCGTTTTGTTTCGCAGGGTAGACATGGACGTGAGTTTGTGTCCCGTTTCTTTCTCGGAAAATGGGGCCATTCCTCCAATAGTTCTCTGTCATCGGTTGCCCCGTTCCGCTGATGGGGAGATATTTGAAGGCTAGATAAAAAGGAATAGCCAACTCAGACAACCCTCTGTCAGAAAAAGTTGTGTGTCTTTCATGAGGATGCTATTTTGCATGTTGCTGTATTTTTTAATTATTGTAATGAGGTGTGATTGTCTATTGGTTACCCACAATTCTTCTTGGGGACTCTCCCCCCGGTAACTCTTGTCAACACTTGTTAATTTGACAAAAGGCTACAAATTAAGCTCTGTTAATTTAATGTTTTCTCACCGAGATCTAAATACCGAAAGAGGCCCAAAGCGCAACTGAAGTCCTTTGATTCACTGTACTTTATTTTGGTATAAATTTACATTCATTATTGTTTTCCTTTGGATGTGTAGCCCTCAATTAGTGTGATGGCTCCATTAAAGCAAGCGAGACTTCGCCTTTAATTATTACAACAAAACACCTAGTTTCAGCTTGGGGAGAGGGTCTCTATTGACATAAGCAGAGGTTATAAAATTTAATTAGCCATTCCTATCAGATTTATGGCATTCAAATTGTTCTGTGTTTCTTCCCTTTGATCCTTCCTGTACAATCCCCAAGATTTTTGTTCTGATCAAATGAGAATAAAGCTTACTGTGCAGAGAGAACTTTCCCTTTTTCTTCTTTTTCTTTCCCCCTCCCCCCCTTGTTTGCACTCTCTTACTTTGTGCCCCCCTCTTTATAGGCAAGGTCAGCCCGTGTACCCAATCACGACAGGAGGATTCCGTCACCCCTACCCCACAGCTCTGACTGTCAACGCCTCCATGTCTAGGTGAGTTCCAAGAACGGGCGCCTCCGACCAAGTCGACCATGGGTGACTTCTCGGAAAGTTCTCTGGCTAGCTACCAGGCCATCCGGGGCAGCTCCTTCGTGTAGTTCCAGTGGTGTAAGACCCAAAGGGCGCGTTGGGCTTTATTCCTAGGAAATACTGAGAAATTAACCTGGACTTGTAAGGTAGGTGATGTTGAAGTCTCGAGGTCAAATCTCGGACTCCATCAATGGAGCGGTTTTTCCTTAAGAATTTAAGAAGGCCAGAAGACATAGATAGGACCTCGCGGAACTTATGAAAGTGTCGTTCCTCTGTTGCCCCATGCTGGGTAAGAAAGGGAAGGGTGAGGGTCATTTTATTATTGTGTAAAGGACAGTTTGAGGAAGGGTGTGCCCTTTTCAAAATCCAGACTCTTCACTGTCCACAAGCAGGGACACCCCTGCCCAAACACAGCCCTCTCTAAAGCAGCACTGTCGTGTAGAATTGTAAGGTGAGTCCCGTATGGAATTTTAAGATTTTAGTAGCCACAGTTTTTAAAAGGTTAAAGGGGGGGGGGGGGGATTAAAAAAAAACCCCAGGTGAAATTCTTTCTAATGATGTATTTTGTTCAGCCTAATATTGTCAAAACATTATCATTTGGACATGTTATCACTGTAAAGCAGCTACTAAAGAGATGTTACGTTCTGGTTTGTACTTCGTTTTTGAAATCTGATACGTAGTTTGCACTGAACAGCACAACTCAATTTGGACCGGCCACGTTTCAAGTACTCAAAAGCCACGTGTGGCTGGTGCCTACCATATTGGCCTGTGTAGCTCTAAATTTTGGAAAGTTAAAAAAAAAACAAAAAAATCACGTGTGTGCAGAGCAAGAATTTGAAGAGAACCCATCAAATAACCAGCAAAGAATTCCTACACCCTGACAAAGGACAGAACGATGTTTACTCTCCTTAAGAAGGGACCATCTTCAACTTCTAATTCAAATATTGTGGCTTAACAACCTCCACACCGACTTCCCATACTTGGTATGAGATGTTTTGCCACGTGTACTTGGATATAAATGGTGAATTCTTCTGTTAAAAAAAAGAAAAGTCGTGTGTGTGTGTGTGTGTGTGCATTCGTATCTTTTTAAGGCTATCCATATGTGTGTAACACACACACATATACCCACACATGTGTACCTAGATCTTTTGGATCCCCTGTTCTCCTTTTCCTCCCTCTAATTAATTCTGGCTAATTTTTCAGTGAGTGCTAGTTTATTTACAAACCGGTTGGCAGCAGTATGTTTAAGTAGTCACTAATTGCTCCTAATGATAGTTTTATTTTCTGTTCATCTGATTTTCAGTCAAGTTAATTAAATCGGTGGAGGTTTAGACTTTCCTGATGGGCTGCAACAAGTAATCCATTTTGATGATGGCCCATAATTAAATTAGCATGCATTACACGGCAAGGATGCTGCCCTAGGATCTTCCCCCAGTCTCTGGAGTCAGCATGGGAGCCCAAGGCCAGAGGAAGGGACTGGGGAGACAGGACAAGACAGCTCCTTTTCCTGCTTACAAGACCGTGATTTCCGGTGGGGGGGGGGGGGGAGTGGAGAGTAAGGATCACTTTCGTTTAAGAAAAACAGGCCGTAGAGCCCACCTAACATTTGTCATTACACCACGGAGATCACGTAATTTTAAAGATCCCACTTCCCAGGTGTGATAAACGATCTCCGTTTCAAAATCCACACCAGCATTGGTGAGGCGGGAAAATGCTTGTGTGTTCTCTTCTCCAGCGAGAGGAGGAAGGTTATATTCATTAAATAATGTCATCACAACCTTGCAAAAAGCATGGGAACGAATAGGGAGTCTCCCAGGAGGAGAACTGCTTCTGAGCGGCCCCTAATCCACAGCTCATCTTCCCGGCAAACCAGCATTTACACCGCGCACCTGATTGTTTTTCATGTTTGTTTATTCGGTGCGTTCTAGAGGCTAAAAGCAGTGAAATAATCGGAGGATAGGGATTGGGGTTAAGCTTATCGATTGAATTATCATTAGGAGGTTAGTCGATGATTTAGAGGTGGGCAGGGGGGTAGAGGAAAGGAAGGAAACAGTGGGAGGAAAGGTTAGGGGCTCAAGGTGCAGGGGGGAGGCCGCCGATTCCCCAGGTAGGCCTTATGAAAGGTAGCTAGTTAAAAAGCGTATACAGCAAATTAAATACATTATTGTGGTAATGGGGCGACAGAAGTATAGGTCTATTATACTTATGGCAGTTATAGGAAATGTAGGCAGCTTGCCCTGTTCCAGAACACCCTTTGATATTCATTCTATTCAGCAGCGGGGCCAGGACTTCTCAGAATTAAGTGATGGGTCATTATACTTTAAACACCATGGAGAAGCCTAGATTGGCAATTAAACAGCTCTTGCTGACACTCACTTGTGCCACCCTGTGACCCCCTTTAGATTGAGATGTTGGAGCTCCGGGCCCTCAGCCCGCTAAATTGGTGCAAGGCTCTTCTCCTGACGAGAGCGGGCTCTGAAATCTGCCGGCTTCAAAGGGAGAGAGATCATGTATAAACCATAATGTGGGTGCACCGTGGCTCACAAAAAATAAGGCAGGAAGAGATGAAATGTTACAAGTGCAAGGGGGAAAATGAGAGAATAATGACAAACCTAATGCAACTCAAAGCAGGATTGTTGCACAGGAAAATGCATCCCACTGCTTGTGCATAAAATCAAGGCCGGCAGATGACATCCAGTTAACAGAAACGTGTCAACAGTGAAGTGAAGTGAGCGCGAGCAAGAGAGGAGCCCCTGAGACAGCCAGAAACAAAAATTAGTTGTCCTTAACAAGTTAAGGTTCATCATTATATTCTGGCTTGGAGCCATAAAAGCAGACGGGGGTATATAATGAGCTGCTTAGAATTTTTAGGGTGTTTATTGCATTTCATGAAATAGTTGTCTGCAGAAAGGAATTTCTTAAGCAAAGGTATGCATATAGATCCCCCCACCCCCGCTACCCCACCGCCCCATTTCTTTCTCCGCTATGCATTTTTCAGATATATGAGTATGTGTGTAGGCATGTGAACTTGGAAGCATTCGTTCCTCATGGCCGCGTCAGAAATTTTGCCCCACCCCAGAATGTGCTCGAACTGTGGTATCTGCCTGTGGTGTTTGCTGTGGACGCACACGCACACACGCGCACACACACACACAGTATTTTCTCTCTCTCCCTTCTCTCACCCTTTCTATCTCTCTCCTCCCCACCCTCCCCCTTCTCTGTCTCTCTCCCTCTCTCCCCACCTCCTCTGTTTCTCTCTCTCTCCCTCTCTCCCCACCTCCTCTTTTTCTCTCTCTCTCTCATATGTCTGTACACATATTCTCATTCAGCAAGAAGAGAACATATGTATTTGAGGAATGTCAAGCCTTTAAAATTCACAGTAAAAGCTGCCACTCTACCCACCACTTCACCCAAGGGCTTCCAAGAACACATGTTCTTAACTTATGTTTCCTCAGAGGCCCTTGCGCAGTGGGAAGGAACAGGGTGTAACATAGGAGCCCAAGTGCCTCCCGAGGGTTTGCTTTTCATTTTTTTACAGAAAGGGAATGGAGATTGTTTGGCTTTTTTGTTTCTCTCTCTCTCTCTCTCTCTCCCTCTCTCTCTCTCTCCCTCCGTGTTTCCCCCCCCCCCCCCCTTTTTATACCCTAAAGGATCTACATGGTTCTTATTAAAAAATCACGTCATTGTTGCCAAACTCTGACACTGGCTTCCATTTGTAAAGGCAGTGGCAGGAGAGGGCCACATCAGGATGGAATTTCTGAGTCAAATGTCCTCTGTGATTCTGAGCCCCTTCAAAAATCTACATCATTCACTGGCATTTTCTCTATTGATCGACGAAGATTCAGTTAGTACTTTAATTTTTTTGTTTTACCCTTTTGCACACTAACATTTGCTGCATTATTTGGATTAAACAGAAACTGGGTTCATCTCCAGTCCACATATGAAAAGCCCCTTGTAAATCTAGGATCCTCTTGAAATCCCACCTTGATAAACCCTTGTTACCACTCCCAGTTGCCACCGCACTTGGCTGCCTAGGGAGCAGGTGTCCGTTCTCCGGATGGTGCGTGAACTGTGCTGTCTTGGGTTTATTCAGAAAGCATCAGCTGCTTGACCCGGGTTCTCCTTCACCTGAATAGCACCCAGCTTGCTCACGTGTATAATCTGCCTGGATTGGAGCCTGGAGGCAGCCATTTTGGTTTCGTTCAGGGTTCTACCCCTGTGCCCCTCACCCTACTATTCTCTGTGGTAGTATTCTTTTAAAAAGGGTGGTTCTTGTAACCCAAGCATATCAGAAAATGTGAAAGCTGTTTGATCCAGTTGTTAGTTCACAGATGGGCCAAGAGGAACATTTTACAGTTAGCACGTGGGGCGCCTGGGAGGCTCAGTCGGTTAAGCGTCCGACTTCGGCTCAGGTCACGATCTCGCGGCCCGTGAGTTCGAGCCCCGCGTCGGGCTCTGTGCTGACGGCTCAGAGCCTGGAGCCTGTTTCGGATTCTGTGTCTCCCTCTGTCTCTGACCCTCCCCCGTTCATCCTCTGTCTCCCTCTGTCTCAAAAATAAATAAACATTGAAAAAAAAATTTTTTTTAATTAGCTCTGTATGTTCTGGCTAGTCTATACTGTAGGGAAATGCCAGTTCAGGGCCTAGGGAGGATTTCAAAGAACTTTCTTAAAAATGGACAGTTTTAGAGGAGAAAACAACCTTTATGCATATATTTACAATTTTGATAGTCATTTGGAAGGCCTTTGAATGCATAGGCAGTCTATTACGTAAAAGTAATTTAGGAATCCTAGAATTTTAGTGCGGGAAAGGGTATACAAATCAGAATTCAAAGCTTCATTTGTATGTGTGTATACAATACAGATTTTTCTTTTTTTGTTGTTGTTTTTTGTTTTTGTTTTTTGTTTTGTTTTGTTTTGCATCTTTCCCTAAGAGGATACAAGCTAATTATTTAAAATGTCTGTGACTTACGATGAGAACCAGATGGGAAATATTTGGATTTTCCCCGTCTCTCTGCCTCACTTTCTCTCACTCCTGTCAAAACGATGGAGGCATATCGGCAAAAGAAAAAGAAAAATTTTATTGCACTCCATCCACAGAACGAGGCCCTAATGAGGCCTGCGCAGCATTGTCAAAAATGTGTGTATACTTGGACCACGTTAATATTTTATTTAGCTGTCAATATTCAACAATAGATTTCACCTTTCATTCTAGAGCTGATTAGGACTTAGGAGATTGTCTTCTTAGATGCCACTAATAATGCCTCAAAAAACAAGTACACGTGTGATTTCCAGCAGGTAGTCTAAGCCTCCTTTTCCACCCAAGTACATCCGTTATATTTGTCTTTCGCTAAAGATGTTAAAAATCATAATGTCTCTTGTCAGTAGCAATAATGAAGGGGAAGATTGGCTTTAATGACATTATGAGAATCATTATGTTTAATTTATTGCTAATTAATGCTGACAGGTTTCATATGCCTTGGGTTGCTTTCATGTGAGTGTTACGTGCTGGGTTTTTTTTTGTTTTTTTTTTTTAATTATGTGTACACATCCCTCCCCATTCATTCATTTTGATTCTGACGATTTACACAGCTTCCTGTCTTCCAGGTTCCCTCCCCATATGGTCCCACCACATCACACTCTACACACGACCGGCATCCCCCACCCGGCCATAGTAACGCCAACCGTCAAACAGGAATCCTCCCAGAGTGACGTCGGCTCACTCCATAGCTCGTGAGTGTTGTTGATCTTTCGGCCGCTCTTTCCTTCCCCATCTTGTCTAGCCCATTTGTTGATGCGGTGGCCATTGGGTGGTAGCCCGGCCCATGGTTAGCCAATGGAGCGTGTGCCCCTGGGAAACACCCGACTTGGGTGGCCTCTGGACTCTGAGAGAGCACAGCGCTCACGGTTGGCACCAGTGTGGGTGTACTTGCGTGCTTGGGCGGCCTGGGGTTCGCAACCACGTCCCCGTCTCTCACCCACCACGGAACGTTGAGAGGCCTGGCCTGAGAGCACAAGAAACCCCCGTCGGGAGCGAATCGGCCACGCTGTGCCTTCCCCTCTGCCTTGGGAAAATTGTGTGTCTGAGACACTTGAGGAAGTAATTACGAAATCTCTCTCTTCCCCCCACACCCTCGCTAGGATGTTTTCGTTCCGTTTTCCAGGGTGGAGAAGACTAAAAGTGGAAGCGTGCTTCTCAGAAGTTCAGGACTGCTGGGCTTGGGCGTTGAGCAGACAGGGAGACGGGTTCTCTGCTGTGGAGGAAGTTGGGCCTTGCGATCGTTTACTGGGTTGTGTCTGTCTATTCTGTCTATATCCAGAAAGCATCAGGACTCCAAAAAGGAAGAAGAAAAGAAGAAGCCCCACATAAAGAAACCTCTTAACGCGTTCATGTTGTATATGAAGGAAATGAGGGCCAAGGTCGTGGCCGAGTGCACGTTGAAAGAAAGTGCCGCCATCAACCAGATCCTGGGGCGAAGGGTAGGTAGTTCCCTCGCTGGGCAGAGGGGGACGAATGGACTGGGGCCTGGTGGGTAGCATGACACAGCGTCCCCGTCCCTTCAGCCACGTTCTGACTCCTTCAGTGGTCTTCATGGAGTCAAGACCAGAAACCCACATTCGAAGGATCTTCTGAACACCCACCGCCTTCATCCTCCCCCAGCCCCAGAGAGAGCACAGAGAGAACGAGAGAGATGACCCATCAGGTTTCGTTTCGGAGTTCCCGTTAGTGCCAGGACCCTGCAGATCAGACCCGTTTCTCATCCCCGGCCGCGGTGTAATTTGTGATGTTTTGCATGCCTCTCCCCGCCTCTGTGTCCCCTCCAGTGGCATGCGCTGTCCAGAGAAGAGCAAGCGAAATACTACGAGCTGGCCCGGAAGGAGCGACAGCTTCACATGCAGCTGTACCCCGGCTGGTCTGCGCGGGATAACTATGTAGGTGTTCGTTTTTCTCGGAACTAGAGTCTGTGGAGATGGGTCGAGTGTTCATCTGCCCAAGGGGAACGCTCCCTGCCAACTTGAATCAGGCCTCAGAGCCCTCCAGTCTGCCCACTCCTGGGACAGTAGCGTCTTGCCCAAGCGCCAGAGTGGGGGGCAGTGGGGGGTTGTCTTGGCTCCCAGTATGGCTCCATCAGCGTGCCATAGTTCTTAAAGGAGGAGGGCTTTAAGAGGGAAAAACAAAAGTTGTCCGATGGCCGTGGTGCAGTACAAGTTGAAAACCTAGTTTGTCCTGAGAGGAGCATGATGGGAGGATCCCTGAAAGCAGCCAAGGGTCGTCACCCTCTGGAGGGGTAGATGAAATGCCTCAGGGCCCAGGAAAGGTAGGAAGGGGGGCTGTGCCGAGTGACGTGTCTTCCTGGGCTCAGTGCCGCCTGCAGGATTTGCCCAGTTTCCCCTCTTGGGTTTTGGAAAACACTGTAGGATTGTTGTTCCTACTTATCACCGGGGTTGTCGTACCTGTGGTTCCTCTTCTCTCAGAAACTGGCTCTCCTCTGGAGACCTCTGTCCCCTCTCCCGGTTAGCTCTTGATCCGCAGTTTCCCCAGTAGCGTCCTGGGTGGGCTCTCCTCTCTCAGTGGAGGAGATGTCTCTTATTTCGCCCGAGACGTTAACTCCACGGCATCACTTGGTCTTGAACCGTCCACTCTTTGGGATGGGAAAGACAAGACTTGCCCGAATTCCAGCAGTGGTCCCTCCTCCCATTTCTTGTCAGTGGCGTGGAGCCACGGAGGATTCTTTCACCGGTCAGCGCTCCCGACCTAGCTCTCCCACGGACAATGTCCGTGGTGAAGACGCTCTCCGTATGTGGGTTGAGATCAGTTCAGTCGGTGTGGGTTGTGAAGGTAACTGCGCACCCAGCATCTGGGGACTCGGAGTTAAATCGGACGTGTTTACTCTCAAAGCCTACCTGCCATCAGGAAGCCACAGACATCCACGTGACTACGTGGGCCCCGAGTGGCCGCTATTTTCTGCTTGCTTTAGCTGTTTCTCCTACCTTTTGACACGTGCTTGCTGCCTGCTCTTCGAAGGGGGTGTGGAGAACACTGAATGTTGGGCTTGACCCCCACGTCTTCATCACTGCCCCCCACCCACCTCCCTCTGAGCCCCCCTGCCCTTGGCTGGCAGCCCAAGACCGCTCCCCCTGGGAGCTGAATCCGTGCCGATGCCTCTCCCTGGAATGTCGGCCGTGGTCAGGGCCCTTGTCATTCACAGATGGTCACACGCAGGGTCTTAACTGCTTGGGACCCTTTACATTTGTCCTCAGCCTGTGTGCCGTGGGGAAGCCTTTCTTCTGGAGCGGAAAGGAAGAGGAGGAGAAGGTTCGTGCTCACCCACAGGCTTGCTGCTCACCCCCACCTGACCTTGAGGTGGAGATTTACAGCCGCAGCCTCCACATGAGCGGCCGTCTCATTCCAGGACCCCTGTTCTCCTGGTTTCTTTCGGGGCAGAAGCTCTGAAGATTTCACCTCCAGCTTCTGCCTGCTTCAGACCCAATTCTTTGAGTGATCTAGGATGTTGGCACAGAGACAGATTCTGTTCTGCTGTCGATATCGCTTCCCCAGCAGAGATTTGGGGTCAGGGTAGGGCCTTCACGTACAGCTTTGCAGAACGCGCAGTGCACAACCCTGCAGAGTGCCGTGTGCACTCTGGTCTACGTGCGTGGTGCCCCCTGGAGTTGGGCAGAGGGACACCTCCACAGAGATACAAGGCCAACTTTGGGATAGCTCCCAAAGAATGCTGCTGTTGACCTACCTCCCTGGGAGTCAGTTAGACAGGTGTTGCCCCGGGCTTTTCTTGAAGTGCTTTCTAGGTTTCAGAAGGTCCATCAGGCCCTGCCAGTGACTTCAGCTCAGCTCCGTATTCAGAAGAGGTTTAGTGTAATAAGGGAAGCCTCTGACAGGACTTGAGAGACCGTTTCATTTTTAAAATTTTGTTTGTTTATTTATTTATTTTGAGAGAGAGTGTGCGTGCAAGTTGGGGAGGGGCAGAGAGAGAGGGAGAGAGAGAGAGAATCTCTGTCAGCTGGGAGCTCAGAGCCCGATGTGGGGCTCAAACTCACAAACTGAGATCATGACCTGAGCTGGACACTCAACCGACTGAGCCACCCAGGCGCCCCAGACTTGAGAGAAAGTTTAAAGGTAGATGTAGATTTGGGGCTGGAAGAGCTTTATTTCTTGAATGGGGTACTGTGAGACTCCTGTCAACAATGGCTCCTTACACATGGCTGTGAACACACACACACACACACACACACACACACACACACACGCACACACGCACACACCCTCCTCCCTCCCTCCTGTGCCCCAGGAAACAGTCTGGAACAGATGTCAGAGTCAAAGGTTTTATGGGTTGGACTGTGGTGGAACTTGTTAACCTGGGGAGTTGTCCTTAACTGACTTGACACAGAAGTTTCTATACGTCACTCTGGTCATTGTAAAGTCCAGAAAGTCCTGGAAAGTTTCCTGAGCCTCTTTCACGTTCCTGCTTGTCCAGTCAAGTGGTAACAGAAAGCTTTATATCACTCCTTAGCAAAAACAGGATTGAGGAAGACAGTCCCACGTGGGTCGTGGGACTGGGCACGTTCTGGGGCACAAGAGAAAACCGCGTGGTCCCGTAGTGCTCTCTAATGTGTAACCTAAACTGACAGCCTTCCGTGGGGACTAGAGCCTCCGACCACCTTTCAGAATATATTGCGGGAGATTGGAAACGGGTGAGCGCTGTATTAACGGAGGTGACCGCGAAGCCCTTGGGTGTGTGGGTGCCAGCACCGCCCGGAGTTGCAACGCTTTCCCTGTGCCTGCTGGTCACTTCCGGCTCCTAAATACGCTGGAGCTCGCCCCTCCTGCCTGTTCCTAGATAGCCAGGCGGCACTTTGCTGCTCCCCTGGGAGGGGCCCAGACACGAAGATGGGCTGTCGAAGCTCATGAGAAGGCCCCGTGAGCTCCTCTTTTTTAAAAAAATTTTTTTTAATATTTAAGCTGCTCATCAAGGAACATGAAATGTGTCACAGTGTTTCAAACTCCAGGCCAAGACAGACTTCCCGAATGGTACGTGCCCGGAGATCTGAGAGAACAGAGGGGCTTTCTCTGAGAGAGACACTGTGGCCCTGAGCCCGTGGATGAAGCAAAAACCACGGCGTCTGCACCCTGAGGTTCTAGGGCCTCACGGGTTGCCAGGTTTACCCCCCTGTGATTCGTCTTTTCTCTTCCGGACTTGCCATCAACACCCCTTGAGCACTTTTGGGCAGAGGCAACATTTAGATATTCTGAAACAGAAGTGTGGGCCCGTCCTGTTACTGGTGACGTTTCAGACGTACCGGGCCTCTGACTCCAACAGATAGATCTGATTCCAGATCTACAGAATTCCTCCCTGTTCCCGTGCCACAGCCACAGCCACCAGCAGGCAGTAAAGGTCCCAGGCTGGAGACTGTGAATGATCCCATGTAACTGATCCCCTGTAATCAATGAAAACCCTTCCCCAGAGGGCACGGGATTAAATTCGAAGGCAGCACAGCCCCGTAGGTAAGCGCTGTGGAACCCAGGCTGCCTGAAGTTCCCACCCTGGCACCGGCCTTGGCCAGTCGTGTGAGCTCAGGAAATTCACGTAACCCCTCTGTGCCTGAGTCTCCTTACCTGTGAAATTGGAAGGGGGGCGCCTGGGCGGCTCAGTCGGTTGAGCGTCCGACTTCAACTCCAGTCATGATCTCACGGTTCGTGGGTTTGGGCCTCGCATCAGGCTCTGCACTGTCAGCACAGAGCCTGGAGCCTGCTTCAGATCCCCATTCTCTCTCTCTCTCTCCCTCTCTCCTCTCTCTCTCTTTCTCTGCCCCTCCCCTGCTTGCGCTCTCTTTCTCTCTCTCTCTCTCTCTTTCTCTCTCTCAAATAAGCGTTTTTCTGCCCCTCCCCTGCTTGCATTCTCTCTCTCAAAAATAAATAAGCATTAAAAAAAGAAGAAGAAGAATTGGGGCACTCGGATGGCTCAGTCAGTTAAGCGACGGACTTCGGCTCGGGTCGTGATCTCACAGTTTATGGGTTCGAGCCCCGTGTCAGGCTCTGTGTTGACAGCTCAGAGCCTGGAGCCTGCTTCAGATTCTGTGGCTCCCTCTCTGTCTGCCCCTCCCCAGCTCATGCTCATGCTCATGCTCTCTCTCACTCTCTCTGGAAAATAAACATTAAAAAAAATTTTTTTAAAGAATTAAAATTGGGATGGTGCTGTAGTACCTGTTGTATAGGATGGCATGAGGGAAAAATGAGTCAATATGCATAGCGCATTTAGAATCATGCCTGGCACATAGTATGTGCTCAGTAAATGTTAGCTGCTATTACTAGTAAAGCCCCAATGAAAGCTTTTTTTTTTTTTTTTTTTTTTGATTGAGTATGAGGACCTCTTGGCTTTAATAAGGAGGAGGTCTGCGTGGGGCAGGGGGCTTTCTTAGCCCACATGGCCATCTCCACATTCATCTGTCCCTTGGCTGTGCGCTCTTGGGCCACTCCCAACCCTGTCCCTCCACACCTCCCTGAATCTTCCTTGATCCGTTCTTTTCTCCCCTGCTATGGAATCAGATGCTCTGGGTCGGGTTTGAGGATGCACATAGGTAGGTGGGGAAAGAGGTCTTTCCCTCACCCTCTGCTGACCCCTCCTCTTCCCCTTCCAGGGCGTGTGTGTCCCTCTAGGGGGTCAGAAGCATTCTGGGCGCTGTGGGTGTGGATGGAGACAGCGCTGTGCTCCCCGCTTTCTGCCTGCCTTCCAGGGGAACCCAGATGCCCTCTCCCGTCTGTTTCCTGAAATAATTGCTTGCATTTCATCTCTTCATCCAGGGGAAGAAGAAGAAGAGGAAAAGGGACAAGCAGCCAGGAGAGACCAATGGTAAGTTAGAACGAGGAGGAAGGAGGAAGGAGCGGTACTTACGAGGACCACTCTTTAACGTTAGGTTTCTCTCTGGGGGAGGCAGGAGAGACTCAAGGCCAGGAAGATGTGGGGGAACCCATCTTAGCCAGCCTTTTTTGTTTATGCATTTTAATTAATTGCTTCATGACTGCCCTTTTAAAGCTAGTAACATTCATTGTTGCATGAAAAGCACATTGTAATTCTAGTGGAATGTGTTTTAAAATAACTGGAGAGCCTGTAACAGGAGGGAGGTAGGCATGCCTATGCGGGACGTATGCAGTCTGCTTATTTTGTGTGTGTCTGTGTGTAGGGATGAGGAAGGGGCCGCGGGAGGAGGAAGGGGTGTGTGTGAGTGTTTGATATTAACTGGGCTGTTCCTGAATGTTCTGATGCATGCCTTTACAGTGGTAAATTGCACCCGATTTAAATTAAGGAGGTTTGTCATTCTCTAGAAGAAATTAGAAATACTGCATAGGCAATCTCAGAAGGTCCCCTTGGAGAAGGCCAGGCTTTTACAAACAACAACAACAATTTTGAAGGCTTTGTATAATTTGTTCTTTTTTTTCAGAACACAGCGAATGTTTCCTAAATCCTTGCCTTTCACTTCCTCCGATTACAGGTGCTAATGTCATTTTGAGTCATTAAAATAGTCGATAAACTGTTTTTTAATTTTTCTTGCCATTATAGTTTTATTAACATTAAACACGTATGACATTTGAACATCCTTTAAAATGACCATCTACACGGTTTCGTATGTTTCGGTAGATTTTTTTTTTTTTTTTTTTTAATTTTTTTTTTTTTTTTTTTTTTTTTTTTTTTTTTTTTTTTTTTTTTTTTTGAATTTCATTTAACTTTTGCTTTGTTTATTTATTTATTTTCCCCATAACAGTTGTTTAAGCAGTGATGACAGTGACTTAGTGTTGAACTAACTGTGCAAATTGAATATGCAGTATTTCTTTAAAAGAGACTGGTTAAAACAAAAACAAAAACAAAAACCAACCAAAATGGAAGGAATTCAGTAATAAACCTCCTTAATCTAATGGCATTTTCCGTTGCTCCCACTAAGTTTTCTCACGCAAGCATGCATTCGCAGTATGATTATTTTCTCCTTTACTTTTTTTTTATTTTAGTTTTTTTCTTCCTTTTGCTTTTCTGCTCTTAATTTGCAAACCCACTAGCATTTTACTGACTGTACCTGCTTAAAAGCTGCTATGAGCTTCTGACTAACCCCAAACAGCTCATTGACACTGCCTGTTCACCATCATTTGTTCTTCTGTTACTAGTAATGAAAATCGGTTTAAAAAAAAAAAGAAAAGAAAAGAAAAACAAAACCATTTCAAAAGCTGCAATATCCCAGTACCACAACCCTTTTCTTTCTTTATTTCTTTCTGTTTTGTTTCGTTTTGTTCTGTTTTTATTTGTAGCTGTTTTTTTTCTTTTAAACTGTTGTACTCTGAGAAGAGAAAAGCATGTTACAAACTTAATTCCCTCCTTCGCTTTATTTTCTTCTTTAAGAAAAACAAATTGAGAGAGAGCTAGAACCAAAAGAAAAAGAAAAAAAAGAGAAAAAAAAAAAAAGGAAAGCAGAACCAAAAGAGGAAAACTATTATTTAAAATTTAGTTTTTCAGTGTCTAACTTCCCTTTATCCGTTCAAAACGAATCGGAGAGACAGTCCTTAAAGAAGGGATACTGCAGCTTTATTTGCAACAGCTAATGTCACCAGTTGAATAAGAATGTGATTTTTACCTTTTTTTTTTTTTTTCTAATTAAAGAAAGTTAAAAATCGAAAGTCGATATTTTGTAATTAGTAACCAGGTCATTGATTTATTCCCTTTTTTATTTTTATTTTTTTCTTATTTGTATCTTTCTCTCCCCCCTCCCCTCTTTCCCCCTCTCTCTCTCCCTCTCTCTCTCCCA